ACAACACTCAGAACAAGCCACAACTACATCGGATACAGAGTCGTTCCTTAAGTGAGTAAGGCAAAAAACAAGGGGTGGCCACATGGCCTGGCAGGGCCGTTGCAAGCTTGAAGGCCCTGAAGACAAGAGCTTCCCTCGTGCAAACTGACAAGCTGACAAACAGACAAACAGACATTGAGCGCATGGAGCGCATGGAGAACCTAGAACTCGGACCAGCTCAGCACTCACAGGGTGCGCCCAGCTCTCCGTGGAGTATGACAGCCCCACTTGCTCAACCGTGTCACAAGTGCACGTGCAAGTTGCAAAATGTTCATGGCGGACCTGCTCCATCATCATGTCGAAGCCATGACCGTCCTGAGCTGGGGAGCTGGGGCTGAGAGATGCCCAAACATCAAGAAGAGACTACTTCGCACAAGCCGCAACCTCTGCCCCATCCTGCATGACTACAGAGGGTCTCGGCTTGAAGCTGCACCTGAAAGCACTTAAGTGAAGACAAGCTTCCAGCTTGACATCTCCGAAGCCACGCTCTTTGTCGGATTGCACCATCGCAGCTACCTTGCAAGGTCTGCACAAACTGTCTTACACCCATTTGGGCGCCTACAGTGCTGGAACTTATCCGAACTTCGCATCTGCTACCAAAACGACTTCACACTTCTTCTGTCCAGCCCGTGCACTGCCAAGATGCACTTTTTGTTGCTCCAAAGTATTCATCCATGGTGCCTGAGACAAACCATCGCAAGACTCACACAAGCGCACACAAGTGCAAGTTCGAAAATGAAGCTCCGAAATCACTGATTTCGCCTAGACTACGGCCACCCTTATCCTGCATCTGAAGGACCGATGATGTTCAGCGTAGGGACGGCGATGTTTCCTCCAATCTGGGCACATTCCACAGTCGGTGTGAAATAACCTGAGAACAGCTGCAGATGGCAAATGCGCTCAGCAGGCGAGGCTGCAGGATGCGGCCCCCGTTGACTAATGTTATGACACCAATTCCAGCCACAGGAGCCCTGATGTTAAATAGTTGTTTTTATCTGGTTTTTTTATGATTCGGGCAATTTTCTAGGTTTCTTGTGTTTATGATTTAAATATGTTTGCTTTATGACCCGCGAGATGGCTTCATTTAGCTTTGACAAAGCTTGTTCTGGAGCCTTCCTTAGACTGCTTCCACTCAGGACGCCAGCCATATCGCCCCTCACCCAAGCCCTACTCCTACTCTGCCCGCAGCATCCACAGGTCCACTTGATTGGGGGGTGTGGAGGGTGGGAGGGTTTGGGGGGGGCGTTGGGAGGGGTGGCAGGGGGGGTGAGGGGGAGGGGCCGAGGAGGTGGGGAGTGGAGAGCCAAACAGGCCATTAATCCATCATAAAAATTTCATAAAAAAATCATAAAAAAACATCATGAAAAAATCAGTATAAAAAACCAGGTGCTGTTAACCTTCTCCGCCCCCCCACCACTCCCCGCACCCCTCCGCACCGCCCCCGCGCCGCCCCCCCACCGTCCCTGCCGCCTCCCCACCCCACCCCCCAACCCCCGCCCCCCACCAAACCAGCCATACTTGATGTCTTGCTTTGTGTGGGTGGTGTGGTTTGCGTGGTCCTGAGCAGGTAGAGAGCAAACAAACATCATAAACATCATGAACTGGATCATATAAAAAAATAGTACGCCACATATTTCCAATCATAAAAAAACATATGTGTTGTCATGTCCATAAATAAATCATAAATCGAGGATTTTCGAAATCATAAAAAACAAACATTAAAAAGTCATTGAAAAAATATTCCGTGAATCCTGCCTCTGGCCGGACATCCCGTGTCATAAGACTAATGGGCTCATCCTGCTTGTGCTTGTTTTCTTGTGCGCTTCGCAGGGCTTGTGGACTTTTTTTGTTGACGTATAGTGGAATGAATGTTCTCTGTCTCTGTGTGTGGCCGCGGGTGCGTACTCTGAGGAGCTTTGGCTGCGCGCACAAGAAAACAACCGAAAGGCACCCCACGACGGCATGAAGACGGCCAATGTCAGAGTCTTCTCTTTAACACGTCTTTGTCATCATCTTACCCTCAATCAACCCTGGTACATTACGCCACGCCCTCTCGCCCTGATGCATGGCACCTAGAATTCTGGTACATTCAGCGTGTTCTGCCTGCCGCTTTGGAAAGTTTCTCCCAAGCACCCCTCCAGAGTGCCAGATTGGATTGGATTGGGTTGCCGGGACATAAAGAGAACGGCATCAACTCCGGCTCGAGGGAGGGTCAAACTGATAAGAGGAGAACGAAGAGCAAGCCAGCAAACCTGTAGCCCAGCTGCGACAAGCAAGGCGCCAGCTGAATGCGGAGCTTCCACTTTCCCCGAATCCCACCAACAAGCTTCGCCACGAAGAGGTCGATTGCGACCGGGGGGGGGGGGTGGATACCCCACCAGCACCCTTCGCCACGAGCGGTCGACTGTGATCGGGGGGTCCTCCCGAAAACCCACCAAACAAGTTTCACCAAAGGGGCCTGGCAAGGAGGTCCTCAAAGTCACTATACCGTTCCTCTGCCACATGGACAGGGTGCTGAGTTTCTGCCACCTGCACTGCACATGCCAAAACATCCACCCCACGCGATTCGAAAAAAAGGTCACCAACACATTCAGGACAGGTTGCCTTTAGAACTTTAGGCGCACCCTCTCGGCCCTTGCCAGGATGCTCCACAGCAATACGGAACACAACTGAGAAACCTTCAGGGATCTTCAGGGTATAGCAGGGACCGTCCATGATGGAGAATACAGCAGGCTGGAGGGGGTGTCTGAGGTGCACAAGCCGAGCGCCCTGTCCAGCAGCCGAGAAACAGTACTCGATACTGAAAGAATTGATGAAGCCTTGGTAGCGGAAGGGATTGAAGGGATCCTAAAACTTCTACAAAGATTTCACCTTGAGCTCTTCCCAGCACTACGCACCATGGGTAAGACTGACTGCAAGTTGCAGGAACGTCCGAGCACCTGGTGCCCATAGCGCTGGTCATCAAAACGTGACACCGTCATGGCCCCCTCGGAGGTCCCGCCTGCCAGCGCTCAGATAGTGCAAAACATGCAGCCACCAGCATGCAACATGCGGCGGCCAATCAAGGTCTCTGTAGTTGCTGGCTAAACATGCCCAAGCGAAAGCCCCTCGCCTATGAAGAAGCCCTGAGTGCGAATCCACCTTGCAAAGGGGCTCGAGATGCTTGACGGTTTGCTCAACGCATTGCACGCAGTTCAGTGCTTGGTTGAACAACTTGTCCATGCGGCGTAGAGATGCACAGAATGGCAAGTGACAGTAGCCGCTGCCTGGGAAGTTTCTCAATCGTCCAATGAAGCTCACGCCGTCGCATCTGGTAGCATTTCTCGTAGAGGTCCCGAAACTGGCACAGGGCCGGTGCTCTAAAACCCCCCATCCCAATCAGCGGCACAAGAAATTTCGGCTTGCCTTGTCTGGGTTGTCCAAGACAGACTCTGCTGCGGTGGAATAGGTGTGCGAACCGCCCTCGGGGTCCAATCCCCCAAGGCACCCACGCTCTTCCACACTTGCTGAATCGAGTTGAATCGTGTCGTGTCAACAAACAAGCGCTGAGGTCGAACAAAAGGAGCATGGCCATTGCCCGTTTCGCGCTTTTGCGTTGTCGTCGCACGAACTTGCTTTTGTGGCGGCGCAAGACGAAAGCCCACCATTGTATTCTCCTTCAAAGCGTTTAGGGGCCGACCTAAGACTAAGGCGGCGACGTGAAGGAGATAAGGGGCAGTTTGGGGTCTAGGCTCGGAAGTTTGTAGTCGCTTTTAAGCACTTTTGCATGTACTTTTGCGCATGCCAAGGGGCGCCAAGGTTGTCCGTATGCGCTATGCTACATCTACCCTCTAACCAATTGCTACGCACAAGTTTCCCGCACGTATGTCTTCTTCGGCAACGTTCAACACATCACTTGACCTCTTACGCCGGCGAGAAGTTGTTGAAGTCAGCGAGCCACACTTGCACGAGAAGGCTCAAGCCCCAAACTCACAGATTCTGAAGCAGATCTCATGCAGTGCTGAGGTTCTGCAGACGAGGCATAGAGCAGATCGTCGGCCCAGTAATCCACGTCATCCTTGCAAGAAGTGATCCTTGCACCTCCTGTTCACCCCGAAGCCTGTGAGAGCAGCACCCCAACAAAACGTCTTTCCACGAGAAACTAGGATAACTAGGCACGGAATTTCCTGGCGCCCCCACCGGACAGAAACTGAAGCAAGGCGAGCGCACAAAGCTCAAGCTTGGCCGAGCTTCCGTTGCCCGCTTGAGTGGCTGCACATCCTATGCAGAACTGTCGGCCACTGAGCAATGGACATGAATACGTAAGGGTTGGAAAATTTCCTTAGGACTTTTAGGGAGGAATGTTTCTTTCGGTCTTATTCCGAAAGTCAGTTCTCTATATGATGATAGGAAAACCTCTATTTCTCTAAAGTTTTGTCGAAAAAACTACCTTCAATCGGACCTCCTCTGTTGCCTCTTCTGTTCTCTCTCTTTTCCTTACATCTTTCCTCTACGTGCATAGACAGACAGAGGGAAAAAACGAAAGAGTGCAAGAACATGTAATGCTGGCATGACGGGTTTGGAAGGATTCGTGTGTGTTTTAAGTGCTAGTCATCTTCATGTCATACAAGGCAAGCCTGCGAGGGGGGCGCAGCTCTTTATAACATAAGCTTGCCCGGGTGGTTGGCGGGCGGCGCCCGATTGGCAAAAGAGGTGCCTATTAACCTATAAATATAGTAGAAGCCTTCCTATGGACAAATTTTTTGCGAGAGAGAGAGAGAGAGCGAGAGAGAAAGGAAAAAGCTAATACAGTTTTCCGCTTTAAAATGCAAAGAAAATTAGGACTATTTGCAGTTCCCCTATGAAAATATGGAGAGGAAATGTAGGTTTTCCTTTCGAGATATAGAGAAGGCGGGATAAGAGCCAAACCCTTACACAGCAACACTGACACCAGCTCGCACCTCGGACTACGGAACTTAAGCTAAAAGACTTCCAAGCCCTCCTTGTGCCGCATCTTACCGAGGTCAGTGTTCTTCGGGTAGGCAAAGCCATCTGGGGCGATAACTAGCCTTGGTTGTCTCAGCTCTGGCGTAAGATGTCAGGGTTCGACGTCGTACTCTTAAACCGATGCACCTGAACAGGGCGCCACCCGTGGCCTTATGAGACGTAGAAGTACACAAAAGAAAGGCAGGCTCGGGCTGGGACTAGTCGGGCTGGGGCTCGGGCTGGGGCCAGGGCGCTCAGCCTAGGGTTAGGGCGAGGCGAGGGCGAGGGCTAAGGCTCAGGCTAGGGCTAGCGCAGGTCTACCTTTGCTACGTTCCATCCAGTTCCGACATACACAAAAACTTCAGCATCTTGTGCTCGGTGCACGAGGCCGTGGCAGTTTCAGACAGGCAGGCTGCACTACGGCTACTCTCCTCCTCTGCTGAATAACCAAAGCGGCCCCCCAAGACAGGCCCATGCGTGTAAACCTGAAGCTAGCCTTAGCCTTGCTTGATCCCCGTTGAGGCACACCCGGCACAATCCCGTGCTGCATCCAGGTCACATGCCCATCCGGGCCATCATGCGGCAGAGCCGGAAGTTATCCCAGCTGCAGCCGCCCGAGCCATGGGCATAAATAACCTCAAAGGGCACAAAGAAGAACGAAACAGCATTGACAAAGTTCTGGAAACATGAGACTGGCAATGGCACTGAGGAAGGACTGGAGAGCTAGAACCGTTTATCAAAAAAGTACGGGGAACATTGTAACACTACCGTTTCAGCTTCAACTTTCCATGCACACGCCTCAACTGAAAGATATGAGCAGTGCAATAAACGCCAAGCCACAGTGCCCCTGAGGTATGAGTACTTCAGTCGGTTCAACACGCGAAGACTGTTCCGCCTCCTCACCACGGTGCCTCCCAGATGTGAACTAAAGGCCCTGCATTTAATTGGGAGCCGAAGGTTCAAGCCAAAATGCCAAGGACACGGCAGCACTGGGGGATTACCCTGCCCGCATTGCTCCGATCACAAATGTATAGCTAGATGTATAGCTAGATGTTGAAGACCATGTTTCTCTTGCATCAAAAATGCATGGGGGGGTTGAAGTTCTAAACCTTGCAGCCTTCAGCCGGCATCCCAAGCGCCTTTCCACCGAGCGCACAGCTTCGTGAGGAGACTTTTCCTTTCATTGCACACCGTTTGGCTGAACACGAGCTTGACAAAACCGCCAGCAACAGCACAAGCAAAACGTAGCTAACTGCAACTAACCTCAAACTGACAACCGGAAGCTGCGATTTTGTGCAATTTCATGGCCCGACGGCAAGATGCGTGACGAGGCACGCGTAAAAGATACGTCGATGACCCAAAAATCAACTCAAATCCAAGCCCTGTCTGCCCGCGAACAGGCCCTTAAAAACTTTCAGAAAGGGAACCTGCTCAAGCCACTGGATGCCACCATCCTATCTTTAAGTGTGCTCGACAAACATTGCATGGGTCTGATTGCAAGAACGTATATGGAAGATGGCAGCATTTCATATAAGGCAATTCCAGGCACGGATGCTTGTGCGTTACGTACTTGGTTCCCACAAAACTGGAAATACACTTCGCAGGCTGCAATTTTGGCCTGCATCACATGGCTCTCACAGTTGTGCACCATAGGGGCTGTGTCTGCACAGGCTGCGTTGTGAGTAGCAGCTGTGTGGCACAGGCTGAGGCACCGGCACAGGCAGAGCTGCGGGCAGATGTTGCCAATGACCGCGGACGGAGAGGGAGAAAGAGAGAGAGAGAGAGAGAGACCTCATGCACCCATTTGTCAGAACTCATTTTGACGAAGCCAAGGCCGTATGTCAGCGTGTGCCATGGATGCTGCACTGAGACGGGGAATGCCCAGTTGGAGACATGAATAAAAGTGGAGGGCGCACCCTTGCATATGCTGAGGAGGGAGCGATGAGAAACTAGGATAAGGACGAAACATTTTAAGGATGTGACCCCTGTGTCCATGAGACACGCAGACATACAACGCGTGTGCTATGAGCGTCGGGTGCGAGCTGGGATTTCTTTAAGATTTTTGAATTTCTAAGGTTTTGGTCTCTAGAACTAAGACGGTCACACAAACCTTTGCTGTGCAAGTCCTGCAACCCTTTCTGCTTGCCACTATACAACCCTACTCTCTCATATCTACGGCCTCATCTGCAAGGCCTCCCCTGCCACCACGATTCTTTTTGGGATCCTGCATCATCGCATCGAGGGCCTGCTTCTCCGACGCTGTCAGCACAAGGTCTGGCTTGTTTACGTTCACCTTGGAAGAAATTGGCCCACGTCTGCACCTACATTTATAACTATATCTCATATGGAGAGGTGGTGATCCTGGAATTAAAATACAAGGCAACTTCAAGGCAAATAATTGAGGTATCCGGCAATGACAAAGGCAAATAAACGGCAAATGTAACAGGCAAAAGAGAAGCACATAAAAGGTGTCTGGAAAGGTAAAAAGACAACATGAAAGGCAAATATAAACGGCAGACAAAAGGCTCCGTTCTGTATTGTGCCTTTATTCTGCCACGATTTTCTGCCTTTTCCTTTTCTGATGGCCTTTCCCGTTGCGTTTATTCTGCCTTTTGCTTGCCCCCCCTGTCTTCAATGAGATATGGCCATAAACCTACATTGAGTGTGATGAGCAGTGCATGAGCTGTTTTGAGTTCCCGCTTCTGCAGTCACAGGTTAGTTGCAGCGTGTCTTGCGAGTGTGAGGTTGAGTGTAGGGTAGGCGCAACTTGCTTTGCCTTGTCCATTGCGAGCCAACCTCCCTCTCCGATGCCTGGACTCTGAGCATGTGATTTGTTGCGGGACTCTGCCGCAGCAGCTGAGTGGGTGTGGGTCAACGCCATGTCTGATGACCGCATGCTACAGTCCCGGAATGGGCCAAAGCCTTAGCCAAGGCGAAGGTGTCCGCGTTGCCTTCGGGCCCGGGAGATGCCGCACCGAGTTACCTCGCCGAGCCCCTTGCTGCCGGGCGGAACTGTATGCCTATGGGCGGGACCGTGCCCGACGCTTATCCTAGCTGCAAGTGCTCCCGCGGCCATGGCTGCGTCGCCAACTCGTGCTGCTGGACCTGTGAATGCGTTACCGCCTTGGTTGAGTGCTGTTTTGCCAGGGCCGACGGTTATTGTCTGCTGGGTGACTGGTATGCTGCAGACAAGGAGGATCTTGCAATATTTGCCCCCTGTTGGTGCTGGAGATTTTGCACCTCCCGGGGCGGAAGCCCGAGTTCTGGCCTGTGTCCCTTGCCGAGGCCCGTCCTGCTCCAGTCGTCAAGAAGGCACTCACGTGAGACTCTGCTTGTAGTCCAACATGCTCAAGCGATTTGTGCAGCAAGGTGTAGGGGATGTCCCTCAGCTGCCAATGGCTGAAGGAAAGGGCAAATCATGCACATCCAAGTTGTGGATGGCAGCCGGCTGTGAGGGAATGAAGGTTTTTTTCCCGAAAGCGTGGCGAGCGTTTTTCAGCGGAGGTGGTCTTTTAGAAGGTTGTTCGTTGTCGTTGATGCATGGATGGATGCTGTGACGGCTGGCATAGTGGATTTCGTAGATTTCCTGTTAATTTCTATAATATGTTTTCAAGTGCAGGGCAGCGTTGGCAGGAGCCGCCGCCGCACCTCCTAAATTGCGCTGGCCGCGACGCTGGCGCGTGGGAGGCGTTCACAGATCGACAACCCTCTCGATGTTCGTGGGGCGCCATGACGCTGGCGCTCGGGAGGCATTCACAACTTTGGCTACGATCGACAACCCTCTCTGTGTTCTCGGGGCGCCGTGACGCTGGCGCGTGGGAAGCCTTCACAGTTTTGGCGACATTGCACGTTAGATTGCACCCGCCCAGCGCTCGCGCACACCGCGGGGACTACTTCAGAGGTTCCACACTTAACACCTGCTTCAAAATCACTACGTCGCAGGCTGAAGTCAACATGTCCAGACCACCATGACCTTCCTAGCTACACCACACAGTAAGGCCTCGCCAAACCCACCGACACCTTCGACCTGCCATAACGAGGCGGCTGTTTTCCCCACGTCCAGCTATCACCGAGAGAGGGGACAGAATGCTTCATGGGCCAAAAGGTAGGGGGGAGGGGGCCTGACGTCTGGACCTGCGGTGGGAAACTCGCCCACCTCAAACATCCAGTCTTGGGGTTTAGGGATTGGGGTTCCTTGAAGGGGTTTAAAGCTTAGGGTGAGTTTGTACAGGGTTTGAGCTCAGGGTTTTGAGCGATTTTTCTTTCGGCTGATTGTAAGTCGAGCTCCTCTTTGTGGTTCTTCCAGAAATGCCTGCACCACATTGGTGGCAGATGTGCATGGGTTGCGGCCGTGAGATGATGTCTGGGATGATGTCTAGGCATTTTAGGGTTTTAGGGTGTCCTGACGTGCGGCCGAGAGGTGGGGCGAGGCGCGAATGGTGTGGAGGCGCGGGCCTTCGTGGCCGAAGGCTTTTGCACGTCACGTTGGCGAAAGTCCAAGTGGCACGCCTTACTTCGATGATGGATGGGATGATGCCTCGGATGAACCTTGCTTTTCTTGAATGGTCTCATGTGGTCTTAATCGTGGCTCAAAAATGCTTTCGGGACAACCGCTCTCTAGTTTTACAAGCTCACCGGGAGCCAAACGGACTGACATGATTTGTGGTGTTGGCCGTCGCGGGTGGACATGTAAGATAAGAGCGATCTCGTCTTTGCTGATTTCGGGCGGTGGGTGAGACTGCTTTTCTCCACTCTCGGCGTGGGGTTGCTATCCCAGAATATCAGCAGAGAATTCCTGGAGTGCCCAACCCGAGTATCGTCAGAGAGTCCCTGGAGTGCCCAAACCTAGAGTAACCCCAACCCCGGAGAATATTTAGCAAACTTCCAATGTGCCCAACCCCACCGTATCCCCCCAACCCCAGAATATGCCCAACCCAGAGTATCCCCAGAGAGTGCCCAACCCCAGAGTAGGACGACCACAAATTCCAAATCTGCAGGGTGGGGATGCTTGAAGTAAAATAATGGTTGTTTTGGTGGCCTTAACTTTGCTGCAGCGATGGTGCAAAAACTGCCACAGCACCATCCCAAAGTTCTATCAACAACGACAAAACAGAATGAATCGAATCAGGATTTGCCGCGACCACGGTTGTGGTTCACTGTTGTTGAAACAAGTTAGACCGTCGGATGATCTTGAGGCGTTCATCTTCTGTTAAGACAAATCCCGGACGGTTCTGTTCGTCAGCCAAGAAAAAGAAATGGTCGACAACAACTACCGGAACCCACAACAAAAGAAATGAACACCGTAATCCAAGACATATATTCTGATGTAACAGCGTGTAGAAAACATGAAATACCCTGAAAGTGCCATCGTTTGTTTCTGGCACGCCCCCGCACTCGAAGGTGCTGCTGTAGATCATAGCACCGCGGGTTTCCACAGGTCTCCCCATGATCGCTGCACAGCTGCACGCAGCTTAAGCTATGAGCACTGTGGCGCTATAGTTCTCCAAGTCACTCTTGCTAGGTACTCCTCATGCTGCACCCGGAGGAGCTCCCGCAGCTCCCAAACGCGACCGAACCACATCTCTTTCCTGGCCGAGAGAAACTCAGTGTAGGCACCTCACACACCCAGCGATTTTATCAAGTATTGCCCTCGAAGCGTCCCTGGACCCAGAGAATCCTGCACAAAACACTTATATCAGGCCCCACGGTGGAAACCCAGAGAATCCCCAAACAAAGGTCGCAGAATATGCCTGGATTGCCGAATGCCAGATGACCCCCCACAGCGCCCATCAAACTACGTAGCTTTAGGGGAAGGATGTTGGGCGGAGATGCTCCTTTGTTTTTTTAGATTGCAACGCTTGAGCAGTCAAGAAAACTCTCTTGCGAGTCAAAAACAATAAAGGCGTGTGCAAGCCAAAGGTCATGGCATCTCCCTTATCAGACATGTTGGGCTCGAGCAGCAATTCTTGCACCTTTGCTACATGCAGGTTTTTGTCTGGTGCAGCTTGCGATAGCGGCACTGTGCACATGCAGGTTCCAGGCTAGGTTGCACAGCTGAACTGTAGAACAATCACAGGGCAGAAGGGAAAAGGTGACCCCATCGGCACGGATACTGTAAGTTCGACCTATCTGAGGACATCAGATGCACAAAAAAGCCAAACAAGCAAATGCTGCAGCCATGTTGTCAACACTTGCCAATTGCCCATGCTGTGTCAATCCGCATCAAAGCCACGGCGTACTCTGGAAGGAACAAGAGTGTGTTCTCCACAGGATGGGGATCCCTGGGCGGCTTGATGCGCGAGTCCTTATCCAGCGAAGCTCACAGTAAGCCTGGAAACAGCTTGTCATGCTGCAGGGCCATGGACTGTCAGCGGAAACTCTCACAATTTTAAGGCAAGTCTCGTTTGATATCCGACGGTGCTCACCTGCTTCAGATGCCATGCTCGATCTTACAGCAGGACGACAGGCAAGTGCATGCTTGCAAAAGCTCAAGCAGGATTACCCTCGTATGAGTATCCAGGTCCTATTTCTCCAGCTTTCATCGCAAATGGGCAACGGGTGAGCAGATGCAGTAGGTCCTTCTGGATGAGGCATTGGCAGGCAAAGGCAGCGCAAGCGTTTCCAAACGCGGCACGGCGCAGGAGCAACATAAGATGCTGAGGTGTAGGCTTGGCCTTATCAACATCACTTCTGAATGACCTGGGGTTGTTCCGGCCCATTGAACCGTTGTTGGACAACGAGTTCCTTGAAACTGTCATCAAAACGACGACAGCTACGAGGATCACGACCCAACGCATCCAAGCCTTGTAACAGTCAGCACTGCTGCTTTGGACGGCAAGTTCCAGCTTCAAAAATGACAAAAGTTAAGAGGATGGCGGCCCGACGCCTGATCCCTGTGACCGTTGGGACTTTTCATGCGAGATGTCGAATGCATGCTGAATGCGGCCAGCGCATGACAAGCTGCTACCTGCCAGTGACCGTTTGCAACAACCGGGGCATGAACGATGTCGAGTGCAACAACTACCAGTGCACTCTACCTCATCTCTCCTGATGGCATGAAGCCCGTCTGGCACCGTCGACGGCAGGATTGTGTGGCCAGTGAAAAGCCGAAAAATGCGTGCAGTGAGCCCTGCGGACAATTTCCTAAAACTTGCCTCAAAAACCGGGACAATCGTCCACGGGCGTGTTGCCTCGTACTAAATTTGCTTTTGATGCCGGATCTGGTGAGTGACTAGAGGAGGGTGTCCTTTTCGGCCACGAACGGGGGTCAATCCTACTGAGTCTCAATTTTGTGCAGGCACGGCACGGAGGCAGAGGTGCTCTCGACAATTTTGGGTGCGTCACATTCTGGTGACGCACAAGCGGTCACCAACACTCGGCACTCTGCAAAAAGGGAACAAGTACCCCCGGAGTTTGGGTGGCTGATTAAAATAACGAGTTGCGCTGCATTAGAGTTGTTTGGTACAAATTTTGAAACAGTGCACAACTCATCATCAACACGCCGATGGACAGATTGAAACGAGTCGTATGAGCGAAGGGCATATTTTCATCGTCTTCATCTTCGTTGGTCTCAATATCCCCTCTCTCTCGCAGACTCGGATCCGTCAGCTGCTATCCGTAGCCAGGCAGGCAATGGTTGGGGGTGGGAGTGATGGCCGGGCAAAGGCCGAAGCAAATACAAAAAAACGGGACCTTGCCTGCTGTATTTTCCACTGCCGCGGCTGGTACAAAGTCAGCGGCTCCCTGCACAACAGGCAGAACCAAACCGGATACCACTCTCTTGATGATGGCAGGAAGATGTGGAAAGAATCTGCCATCTCGCCAACTTGATGTGGGATGCCAAAGGCAACCAAATTGCCAACTGCAACTTAGAAGATGGCCTCAAACTGCCGCTGTGGGGACCAACCACTGCCCCAAGAACCTGAGCAGAAGCTCGGTTTTGAAAGTGAACAGGTTTGCACTGGAAGGTATGGAGGAAGAAGCCATTTCCATACTGATTCATACGAATGATGTGGTGGAGGGTGCTTCATGAGAACCGGGAATGCCCAGGCTCTCTGACCTGGACTTGACCATGCTATCACCGTACGCTGAGGTTCAATGCAAAGCTTCAGACATTGAAGTTCGAATTCATGGAGACGGGAAGTCAGCAAACTGCGTCATTCTGTACGAGCAAAGGTGAGCACCCAATCTGATCGACCAGGCAGACCGCGTATTAGGGAGCCGAATTCCAGCGATCTTGGTTAAACGCCCGGGCCCCTGGCTCAAGGGACGCAGGCCACCTCCATGAAAGAACAAGGGTCAACTGCGCTGTGAGTAAAATTGAGCTGCCTTTGCATGAGGCTCTCCCATGTTCAGGTAACACCCAGACGAGACAACGATGCCTAATGAAAGAAGAGCTGTATGAAACCCGAATGGGATGCTTCGGGTCTTCGGCTCACATTTGCCCTTTCCTGCGCTCGAAAGCCCTAAGCAGACCTGGTCAATCATGACGTGCTTGGCTTAACCAGTCCAAATATTGGAAGCCTTCGAAAAGCCCGACGAGAACTCGGAGAACTCGGGTGTTGTTCAAAGGGGGCTGTTTAGGGTCTGGCCTGGCACCCCGAAGGGTGAGACCGCGCTTGCGGAGCCCGGCTTGCCCGATCGTGTTGGTGACCCGATGGGCCTCAGAAATTCGGATTTGCTTGCGTTGGGCTTACACTTGCAGTCTACCACGTGCTCTGTGGGGGCCATAACAAGAACTCCATACCCGGACCCGAGTGCCCTCCTGCTTCCTCCCGCCTCTCTCTTCCTCACCGCAGTCAGTTTCTTACTCGACTGAAACAAGTGTATCTGGAGATCGAAATTGAAGATTTGGGAAAGTTCCTGGACAACTTAAAGATTTGAATCCGCTTCGTGTTTATATGACACACGCTAAAAAATAATATTAAACAGCCAAAAAGGAACAAGTCTGTCAACGCCAAACAGCCCAATTGATACGACGAGTTCCCGGTGAAGAACGAAAAAATCAAGGTTTCTGAAAGTTTGGCTGATACAAAGGGCACTAGTTTGTTACGAGCGTCTGAACAAGTGTTGGGAAAGAGCGGCCAACGCGAGACACACCAAATTCGGCACGGATGCGCTCGGTTTCGGAAAGTAGGTAACACGGCCTGAATCTTATCGGTACATGAAGATAAAATCAGCCCTTAATCGCAAATGAGGGCATTTGCTTTTGCTTGAGTAAACAGAGTACGGGGCAGCCCCAAAAACACAAGAACTTCACATGGTGATGCGAGTGCCAAGACAGAAAGATTCAAAATCGTTCTGAACAACTCGCAAGTTGAACTCGTTCCCGAAGCCCATGGTACAATGTTTGAAGATCTGAGATTCTCGTCCTGAAAATGCAAACAGAATCGAATGTGGAATTTCAACAACTTGGGAATGAAAGAACTGGCAGATGAAAGAGTTGTAGGCCAATGATAACTATAGCAAAAGGGTGTTGGCAAAGAGTTTTTTAGATCCGAAAATTTAAGTTGCCCCTTCCTGAATTGTCGATTTTCAAATCAAATATAGCATGCCTATCTCAATTCTTCTATCTTAGACATGTGGAAATTCACGAGCTCTCATGTTTGCGTGGGCTACTCCGGAGTCTTACAATCCGGCCAAAAAAGCCTCCCCAGGTACACTAGCCCTACTCTCAAATACCCTCCGCCTCCCCAAGCACCACGACATGGGGCCTACTTGGGCGTAGCCCTGTAAGGAGGAGTTTCAAAGCAGAGCTTGGGAACTTAGCCCGACATGCCTAGCTAAGATCACTCTTGCACAAAGCGACTCTGGAATCATCAAGCTAGCGCACGGACTTTTTGTCTCGGAGGTGGACAGATCCCACTTGTAGCTCGGAGGCCGGAACCCTTCGGGTCCCGGTATCCCCCAGGGTGGGTAGGGTGGGCACTTTGAATTTGCCCCCCCCTTTTTCCTTGGGGGCCTTGTAGCCGAAAACGGCCACGAGCCTTGTTCTCATTTAGCGGCCCCCCCTATAAAAAGGAGTTGCTTGTAGACATGTAGCTTTGCTCATGTGACATCATGAAAGCAACTAGCACCAGTGACACAGCTGACTGCATGCACATGTAGCTCACGCGTGTCACAGCGGCAAATTCTCGACATGAGTGTTTAGCTCCTCTTTTGGGGATACGTAAACATGTCATTTAGCCCTGCAGAAAACACTCTCTGCATGTGGGGCTCTCACGCTCTAGCATCCCTCCCTCTCTAGGGTGGTGATAGCGTTTCAAAAGGACTAAAACACCTTCGATGTTTTAGCAGCGAACCGAGAGGATGGGCTAGCATACACGGTCGTAAACAGCAAGCTATTCACGAGTGCGTACACTAGCCCTACTCTCAAATACCCTCCGCCTCCCCAAGCACCACGACATGGGGCCTACTTGGGCGTAGCCCTGTAAGGAGGAGTTTCAAAGCAGAGCTTGGGAACTTAGCCCGACATGCCTAGCTAAGATCACTCTTGCACAAAGCGACTCTGGAATCATCAAGCTAGCGCACGGACTTTTTGTCTCGGAGGTGGACAGATCCCACTTGTAGCTCGGAGGCCGGAACCCTTCGGGTCCCGGTATCCCCTCGCATAGCCCTTCGAGCTACCAGGGGTCCAGCTTCCGACGCTTCTGTCCGAAGCGTCCCCGTTTCCGGGGTCTAGCCCTCTTTCGCAGATTGAGCTCTTCGTAGTAGCTCTCTGCATGTCCGAGAAGCTTGCCTAGGATCTTCCACTCTAGCTCCTCTCCCCTCAGAGGAATCCTGAATGCCGGGTCGAAGCTAGCAAAATTCTCATTTGTCAGATCGTCCGCTAGCTGATTAAGGTCTCTACGAATCCATTGTAGCTGCAGGTCACAGTTTCTGGATGCCAGCTCCTCGGCTAGCTCCATCAAGATCAGCATAGATGGGAACTTGGTGGTCATGACCTTCTTTAGCAGCGCCTCGTTGGATTTGTTGTCTGTGTAGCCCCGTAGAGCCACCCGAGTCGCCTTCCGCGTCTCGTCTTGGGGAACCCATAGCTTGACCGCCACCAGTGTGCCCAGTAGCTCCAGCGCTGCGATCACCTTGTTGGGGTCCTCTTTAGCAAAAGCCCAAGGCGCCCACTCGCGTTTCACCTCTAGCGAGAACCACGGTCCTGAACATCCAGGGACTAGCTCCAAGAAGCCCCCACAATCCAGGCACGTCCATCTTCAGCCTTCGCATCCGTGAAGAAGGATAGCGTCGGGCGTGGTAGACGACCGACTCCGGTTGCTGTAGCCTTTCTCGCCCTCCAAGTCTCTCGGCTAGCCACTCCATCAGCACTCGGAGCATCGTGGGCAGGGTTAGCTTCCCTGATTTTCCTGCCACCGCCGAGGACCAGGCATGTAGCGGTCCCAGGAAAGGTCTCTCCCAATCCAGCGCGGTTGCAGCAAACCCAAGCCTACCTAGCCCTTGGGCCATCTCCACCGCCCCCACGTAGCCGTCCTTGACTTTCGCACGCAGCCAACCAACCAGCCAGTCAGCTCTCTTCTTTGAAAGGCCCAGCTTGTAGCCCACGTACTCCGTCTCCAAGCCGAGCCACTCCACCCGGAAGCCTCCCCGTGTTTTAGCCCACTTAAAGGGAAATCCCACGCTGGCCAGGAGGAGGTAGCACATGGGAATGCCTTGCCGTCCTTTAGCTCCCATTCCCAGCACCTCCAGGTCATCCGCGTACAGCAGTAGCTCCAGCTCATAGTCCGGCCCCATCAAGTGGTGCGTGAGCCTCAAGCCACACGCGGCAATGCGCGTCCACCAGTAGCTCGCGGGGGAGCCCGAAGGTCCCCACCTTATTCACGTAGACCGACTGGCTCCCTGGGTCCCCCTCTAGCTCTTCTTTATCGTCCACCTGACAGCCCATGAAGCCATGCTCGGAGGCCTGGTGCTTGTAGCGTCGGTGAGCCTTGGAAATGTCGCCCACCACCGAAAAGGCCGTTTTCTTCTTAGCTCTCATCTCGCGGAGCAGTGTCTTCTTTTCTCTAGCCCCAGGAGCTCGGATCTTGTCCCGGCACTTGATCCGGTGGTTCACCCGCACCCCGTGGCTAGCATCGTGGATCACCCTCTTCTTGCCGGTCGTCTCATCTTCCACGATCACCGCTAGCGCTGCAATAGCGCGGCCCTCTCCGTAGCGTTCCTGGAACTCCCTGAGGCTCATCCGCTCCATTAGCCCTTCCGCCACGTCTTCCTCGAACTTCTCCCGGACGTAGCTCTCGTGGTCCTTCACCGAGTGGTAGTTGGGCACCCAGCTTGGTGCCGGTTCCCACGGAGAGTTGTCTAGCGGCCACTTCACCTGCTCCTCGAAGATGTGGGGCGTCCTTGGTAGCGGTTCCAGGATCCCAAGAGGGAGGCCCTCCTCCGCCCTTAGCAAGAATTCCCTGTCCGGATCCCCTGCTGCTTCCAGCAGGCCACGGATGAGGCGAGGCTGGCCCGGCGCAACGTCGAGTACTTTGGGGTCCTCTAGCCCTCGCTCTCGTAGCCTCCGCCAGGATGTCCCGTATCTCTTCCTGTAGCGTCTCGTTTCGGGCCATAGCACAACCATGCTCGCCACCAGCAGCCATGCGGAAGGCCTCCCGCTCCAGCTCCTTCTCCGATCGCATACGTCGTAGCACCGTCCGGCGTATCCGTAGTCGTAGCTCCTGCCACGCGTCGCCCTCAGCGGGCTCCTCCGTTCCAGCACCAGCGGCCCGGCGAGCAGAGCCCTCCTCCGTCATGGAAGGGACGGAGCCGGCCCTGAACATAGCTGCCACGGGGTTCGCTTGCAGATGTGGTAGCTGATTTTCTCGTCGGACACATACCGGGTAGCCTCGTCCCCCCTTCCAGCGGGAGTCGCAGCGCCCGAGGCTGGCACGGTCTGAACAAGCAGCTGAGCCAACCATTGGCATAGCCTGGGCGGCCACGCCGCCGTGCTCCTTGTAGCGAACTGCCCATCCGCTGTTCGCGTCTGCATAGGCGGCACCTCGGGTAGTGGAAGAGGTCCGAGGTAGTAGCCCTGGTCGTCGAAAGCTCGTGCCGAAGCTGCTTTGGTGGAATGCCACGGTTCGTAGCCCGCGGCCCACACCGAGGAGGTCGTCCGGCCTCTCTGTGGCAGCGCCCCGAGCTCCATGCGTGCCTAGACCGCGCTTGATAGCCCCGAATTCCTCCGGCTGTTCGAATACGAAGAAGCTAGCAGCGCCCTGGGCCACTAGCTCTGCCACCTCCCAGGCTAGATCGGCGAAGATGTTGCCCAGGATAGCACGGTCCCGCTCCGCTGCAGTCAGGATTTGGCAGCCTCTTGGCCACTCGTAGCTTCGCACGGGGCGGGGCCCTCTGTAGTTCTGTCGAAAAGGTAGAGCATGGCGGTGAGAGCAAGACAGCATCAAATTCCTGACTGCGTATCCGATGTAGCAGTGCTTCGCGCGGTTGCTGTAGCGAAAGGTCCACCGAGTTCGGCGGGCGTATATCAACACACTCGACATGGATCTGTAGCTGCTCCCCCTGTGCCAGCTTCTGGAGACAGTTCTTCATATCCCAAGGTCGCGGCTCACCGGAGAAGATGTATAGCACCTTGATCGCTTCGTTTGCTCGCTGTGGTCAGTTGGTAGCGCCTGCGCCCGCGGCGTCCTTTGCAGCAGCCTTCTGCTTGCACTGTAG